ATTTGCCAGTGAGTTTTGTAGCCTGACCCGGCCTGGCTTACCCCCAGTTCCAGTGTGTCTTTGAGCCTAGCCCAGTTCAGCCAGTCCAATCTGGGTATAAGACTTAATATAAGGGCTGGTACAACGGCTTAACTGACTAATCCTCCACCTCTAAGTACCAGCGTTCCATATGGGCACCAGTTCATGTCCCAGCTGCTCCATTTTCCATCCAGCTCCCTGCTTATGGCCTGAAGAAGCAGTGGAAAATGGTCCAAATCTTTGGAATTCGGCACCCATCTGGAAGATACAGAAGAAACTCCTGACTCCTGACTTTGGATCAGCTCAGTTCCAGCCACTGTGGCCATTCAGGGAGTGAACCAGCCAACAGAAGAACTTTCTGTCTCTCCTATCTGTACCTATGCCTTTTCAATAAAAATAAATCTTAAAAAAAATCAGTGTAAGGGTGATCTCCAGATGTGTATCTTCATTTATGGAGTCCCTTAGCCCTTGATTTCCACTTCCTCATTCATCATACTGTAAACTTTCATTGCTCTAGAAGGCCTAGGAAGGCTAGTTCTTCCAACACCAGTGCTTCTGACTGAGCAACGGCATCATCTGAGTGCAGTTTGAAAATGTATGGGGTTGTTGCTTTTTTTCCCCCTATTGATGAGTGGGGCAAGAGGAATACCATAGAACCTACCATCAACAGGGCAAAAGAGTATTCCAGATTCCAACAGGTTTTCCAAAGTTTTACTGGGTGGTGAAATAGGGAATAGCACTGTTTGTAATCATCCAAACACAGAACTTAACTCTGGGGTCTATCTAAATTCAGTTTTAATCTACATTGAATTTTCCATTAGTAAAACTACTATGCAAGGCCTGGCATGATGCTCTAGTGCCTAAATCCTTTCCTGGCTTGTATCGGGATCCCATATGGGTGCTGATTCATGTCCGGCTGCTCCATTTCCCATCCAGCTCCCTGCTTGTGGCCCGGGAAAGCAGTTGAGGATGGCCCAAAGCCTTGGGACCCTGCACCTACATGGGAGACCCGGAAGAAGCTCCTGGCTCTTGGCTTCAGATCAGCTTAGCTCCAGTCATTGCTGCCACTTGGGGAGTGAGCCAGAGGACAGGGGATCTTTTTTTCTGTGTATCCTTCTCTCTCTGTATTTGCCTTTCCAATAAAAATAAATATAAATATTTTTAAAATACAGTAACCTACTATGTAAAGTAGAAGGTGTATTTTGCTTAAAAAGTTGCCAGGAATTTACCAGTTTTACATTGCCACTTGCTGGTTTTGAAATGTCAACATAAGATACCTAGGCCATACCGCAGCTGACACTGTGAGGCTCACACTGATTTTCCATGCAAGTACAAGTTCCTGTGTGTTTTTACATGGCTGTGCCCAAGAATGTCCACAGTAAAATAAGCATTTCATTATGAATTATGCCTTTATGTCTCTTTTACATTTACCTTGAGTGTTTTGAGGATTCAATTAATCAGAGTTCATAAAAAAATTATTTAGAGCAGCACCTGACACACAGGAAATACTACAACATATGCTGATGTTATTACTACATAAAAGTTGCTGAGTATGCACTAATAAATATTTTAAATTATACTTAGGTCTCTATTTTAAAATCCTATAAATTCATTTTTAGTTTTTATATTTCATTAATCTATACCATTTGAGTATACAGTTAATTGATCACCAAATGTCTTAGAAAGTGCTCCAGTAATTCCTTTTGCTTACTGAAGGAGACAAAAGTAAGATTTATTACTCATCGTGACCAGTTTTCCATGAAGCACTCACACTTCATTATGTTTCTCCTGAGGAAGAACCCCATAAACTGGAAACTGAATTGAGTCCTCACCTACCAAACAGCTTTTCCATGTGTAAAGCTCACAGGTCCAGAGAGGGAATTATGACCATTCATCTCACTAAGAAATAGCTACCACATTTATTAAGTTTATCTTTCTCTTTTATAAGACAAAGATGAAAACAATATGAAGAAATTTACAGTACGTGGCTCACTGACCACATCTTTATATCCGCAACTCATTTCTAAGAATAGCCTTATTCTCTAGTAGACAATTAACAGGTGTGCTGACAATAGTTACCAAACCTTGAACAATACTGAACAAAATAGCTAAACATTAGGTATTTCTATTTCTATTCTACAGAAGAGTTAACGGCATTCGAGGAGTCATATAGCCTATGGCAATATATTTAAAAGTGGCGATGCTGGGATTCAAATTCTGGGACCTGAGCTCAGGCAGGCACACCACTCTCCCGCCCTACTTGAGAGTCGGAATTTCACACTAACATCCTAGGAAAGAAGCAATTTTCTTTCTTTGAACTCAGACTTCTGTAAGTCAATCTGAATCAGGAGAGTATGGCTCCAAGTTCCAAGGCACTCTAGAACTTCAATATTTCTTTCTTGAATCTAGGTCATTGAGTATGGAAGAGAAAGCAGAGTGATTAAAACCGTATCCTTTCCTTTGGCCTCTGAAGATGCTCCAGAAGAAAGAAGTTTTCACAGGATTATCTGCACACTTACTCAAAGGCTGCACTCTCTGTCCAGGACAGTTTGGGCTGCTTTGGAAGTGATAATGTAAAATAATCCTGCACAAACTTAGTTCTTGGAGACTAAATTCATTTTTACCCATAAAAACAAAAAATCTGAGAACTAACATTGCTTTCTGAGAGCACCTACACTCAGAGGCCCCATGTGACAGAACCGCCCAATTTGGGTGTTTTAGCAGAGCGGGCATAAAGATGGTACTCCACTGCACAGACCGGCAGAACCCCTGGGCTTTCGGGTGGCAGTAGGCCCTGGAATGGCCATGGGCCATCACCCCTAATCATGAGCAGCCTTGGTCATTTATTTCAGGATACCAAAGATACATAATCATTTCCCATGAAAATAAATTTCTCTGAAAAAGACTGGAAGGGCCCGGCATGGTAACTTAGTGGCTAAAATCCTCACCTTGCATGCTCCAGGATCCCATGTGGATGCCAGCTCATATCCTGGCTGCTCCACTTTCATCCAGCTCCCTACTCCTGGCCTGGGGAAGCAGTAGAGGATGGCCTAAGGCCTTAGGACCTTGCACCTGCATGAGAGACCTGGAAGAAACTACTGGCTCCTGGCTTCAGATCAGCTCAGCTCCAGCCATTATGGATGTTTTGGGAGTGAACCAGAAGATGGAAGATCTTTCTCTCTATCTCTCTTTCTCTCTGTAGATCTGACTTTCCAATAAAAATAAATAAATCTTTTTTAAAAAAAAAGAAAAGAGAAAGAAAAAGACTGGAAAACATTGTCTTATGTGTTGAATAAAACATTAAAAATAGCTTTATAGCTATTATAAAACATTAATCCAGTGCATTGAAGAAGTACAGTTATTAATACAGGTTATATGAATGGGGCATTTCTTTCCTTTGTCCACTGATGCTGCAATATTCTCTTCTGATACTATACTTTTTTGTATTCTAAGAATAAATTCGGAAAGACTAGAAATAAATTGTTGTCTTTGAAATTATAATCTTTCTGTTCCTTTAGTCTGTTTTGAAAACTAATACCAAATCAAGCCCCCTTATTAGAACTGCAAATACTGAATTGTGAAATCCCACTTCAGTGCTGACCAAAGATGAAAATAAGTATATGTACACAATCATGCCAATAGTTAAGTATGCAGAAATGTAAAACTAGCACAATGGTCTCACTTCCTAGTAAAAAATGATCATGGGCCATATGTGCTATGCTATAGAAAGGGTTGGGAAACACTGGTTTAAACTGTTTTTTATCTTGATCCCAATTTTTGCGCAAGTGATCCAATTAATTAAAATTTGAATTTTATCATTGGCCTAAGACCTATGTAGCAATGTAAGATTATCTGGTAATTGTTCATATTGTGCGGGCACAGAGAGACTCACTTAGACAGTATCTTAGTAGCTAGTTAAAAGTCCATCACAGTAGAGAAATTCATTGTGAGACTATTTCCAAATGCAACAAGGTAGATGAAAATCAATACAAGTATTTTTATCATTATGGATGTCTTTACTTCAATATTTAATCTGCAGTATGCATTCTATCTAGTTACGAAACAATGTGGTTGACAAAATTCTGAAACGGTCCCTCATAATCCCTACTCCCTGGTATCCACACCTTTGTGAAAATCCTACCTCTGGAGTATGAGCAGGTCTTGTAACATGCTTGTTTTAAGGGAAAAAAAATATTATTTAATTTACCTGAGAGAAAGACAGTGCATGACAAGGGGGAAAAGTGCACTTCCACTAACTGGACCACTCTCCAACATGCCTGCAACATCCAAGACTGGGTTGGACTAACACTGGGAGTTGTGACTGCAACCCAGAAACCCAATCCCCTAAGCCATCACATCTGCACCTCAGGACTGGCATGAGCAGGAAGCCAGAGTCCAGCATCAGAGCCAGGAACTGGTACAAGATGCAACTGTTTTAACCCCTAAGCCAAATACCCACTCCAGTAACTTTATTTGAACCAAAAGCTCATGACAAAATTGATGCAATGTCACTGCATTAGTACGCCTTGTTATATGACAGAAATGAAGGGAGACTGCAGATGTTAGTTAACGGGCCTCAGCAGCTGACTTTAAGTTAACCAACTAAGATACTCAGATTAGCTTTTTAAAAGTCTAGGAGTGAGAAAGGCAACAGTGTGTTAATCTAGACTGATGGCTATAAAGAGGCAAGTTGCCAAAACTTCTACATCCACACAGAAATTAATTCTGCCAGCAGAACTTAAAAGCTGAGCTTTCCCGAAGTGTGCCTCCAGCTGTGAAAACCCAGGCCACACCTGGATTTTAGTTATGAGACCTCTTGCAATAAATCCAGCTAAACCATGCCAGGGTTCCTGCCTCACAGGAACTAAGAGATTACAAGCTAGTAATCTATTACATGGCAATAGATAATAACACTAATGCTAAAAAGTAGAGGTCATGAAAGCATAAAGCAAGTACCCCAGGACCAACAGCCCAAACCTAACCTGCACATCCATGCTGCTTGGCTCCCCCAGCAGGTGTAGCAGTCGTTGTTTCTCCTGAGACAGCTGTTCTACCAGCTTCTCCTGGGCAGCCAGGCTTTGGCTCAGCTCTTCAATTTTCCTGGAACAAAGACAAAATAACAACAATGGTTACGGTACAGTATCACCTTCACTTTTCAGCCCACTCCAAAGATAGCACATTCCAAAACAATAGATTTTTAACTTTTTAAAATCACTGAACTCTGAATCTTTTCTCCAGAAACCCATGAATTTTCTGTCTCTCTTCCCCCAACCACCAAATACATACACAAGTGATGTTTTAAAAGATTTTCTTGCTTGTTTGTTAGAAAGGCAGATCTACCAAGAGAAGGAGAAACAGAAAGATCAGCTGTCTGCTGCTGCTGATTAACTCAGCAAGCGGCTGCAACAGCCAGAGCTGAGCCAATCTGAAGCCAGGAACCAGGAGCCAGGAACTTCTTCCAGGTCTCCCACATGGGTGCAGGGTCCCAAGGCTTTGGGCCATTCTTAACTGCTTTCCCAGGCCACAAGCAGGGAGCTGGATGGGAAGCAGAGCAGCCAAGACACAAACCAGCACCCATATGGGATATCTCAAGGCATGCAAGGCGAGAACTTTCCCAATAGGCTACCATGCCAGGCTCTACAAGTAACTTTTGATTTACATATTCACCAGGCTCACGCATTCCTGAAGCCGATCACTGGGTCATAAGCCTAGGTATGTAATTTTTGGAATAAAGGCCCTTAAGTTGGGTTTTGGATTAGCTGTTGTTTTTCCATTCAAGCCAGTGTTTAGATAACTGACATGTGGACTCAATGCTCTATTGTATTGGGATAAAAAGGGGCACACATTGCCTTCTCTGTAGAAACATCAATTCTTTTGGCATGTATGCTAGTGGTTTCAGAAGTAAGAAGATACAGCTAAAAAACAAATAAAAGGCCCAGAATTATAGTAAGTGTTACCATGGTAGAGGTAAATATATGGTACATTAGTACTGCCAAGGGGCTACAGAAAGAAAAACAAAGAATTGATGCGTCATGGAGAGTCTAGGGCAGCTCAAGGGAAGATTTTAACATGGGGTGTTTTTCCAGAATCAGAAGGCAGATCTTGAACAAAGAAATGAAGATAAGAAAACAAAATATATATTTTGGGACAAGTAATTGGAAAAGCAGTTGGTGTTGGGAAAGGCAGCGATTAGAGGAGTAGCTGGACCTTCAGACTAGGATTAAGTTGCGAAAGGCCACGTATGTTGTGCTAAAGTATACAAAACAGAAGTTCAACTCCACGGTTACTGGGCCTTTTCGACATGCAAAGTATATATTTCTGCTTCTGTCTGTATGTGCTCTGAGTATTAGAGACACTTGCAAGAGCCTTGCAAATGTGCTGGACACTAGATGAAATGTCTCCAACTGAGATTATTATTTCTGTGTGAGTGCGTAAGATAGCAATAAGAACCTTTGGAGGAAAACAATTTGGCAGAAAGGTGAAAGGCACCAGAAAGTCTAGTATGAATCTCATGGACATACTATAAACTCAGGGTATATGAAGATAAACTAAATTTTGAGAATGAGACCCTTAAAAATATTAAACAAACGCAAGAGGTGAGGAAATGGGCTTAGGAGGAGAGAGAAACAAGGAAGAGAAAGGAGGGCAAAAGAGGGAAAAAATCCAACTTTCTGTAAGCCTCAAATCCCATTTATCCTTTTGATCTTGGTCTCTATGGATGATCCATTACCCTCCTCTCCCAAGTTATTCAAGATCATCTGCTATTAGCTGCTTCAACTTGCTGATTAGGTGTGCAGGCATTTCTTCCCTGAGACTTTACATTCGTGTTTAGGTTAATGAGTGTTTATTATGATACATATGTAAGAAAAGCACCTTGGGGGAATCAAGGAAAATGGGAACACAAAAACACCACACTGAGACTTGGGGCAATAACAGACATGTTTATAAAACAGAGCAACAATGCAGAAACTTAGTTCTGCTTTAAAAAATCTTGAGGGAAGTGGCCTTGATGCCTTAGTTAGGAATGAAAGATGAATAAAAGTTCACCAAGGTACCAGCACTGTGGTACAGACACTTCAGCATTCCATATGGCAGTGCCAATTTGAATCCTGGCTATTCTTTTTCTGAGTCAGCTCACCACTAAATGTACCTGGGAAGGCAGTGGAAGACAGCTCAAGTACCCAGGCCCCATGTGGCCACATGGGAGACCAGGATGAAGTTCTGAGTTCTTGGCTTCTGCATGGCCAAGCTCCAGGCATTGTAGTCATTTGGGGGAGTGAACTAGTAGATGAAAGATCTTCATTTTTCTGTCTTTTCCTCTCTTTATTGCTCTGCCTTTTAAATAAAATAAACAAATCTTTAAAATAAAACAAACAGGAGTTGGCCAGATAGGAAAAAAATAAACCATGGTGAATGTTTCCCATAGAAGAAAAACCATGAGCACAATTCTAGAGATGTACTGTAGCGTCCTGTGAGGGATCCAGAATTTGTACTCCAGCAGGACCTAAAACTCTCGTGAGTGCCAGTGTCTTCACTCACAAAGTACAGTAATCCCTACCTGCTGTCTCGGTATATTCTTGCTGTGTTCTCAGGGGTAGAAGGAACAAAATAGTGTTTGGGGGTCTCTTTAACAAAAGCACATGTCAGGAAGATGTGTACCTACCCAAAAGTCACACCCCCAATCCTAGCTTTTAGGGATTAGGAGTTCAACAACTGAATTTTTGAAAGACACCAACATTCCTGAACATAATGGGTATCTTGCTCTTTTAGTTTGGGAAAGGTGTATACGTTTCCAGGACAGCCCATACAATTATAGAACTTACTAAAACCATGTAATATGTTTATTGGTGATAGGAACTATGTCTTTCATTTCTGTAATTTTAGTGCTTAACCTTATGTGTGGCACATTACAGATAGTGCTTAATGGTTGTTTTCTGAATACATGAGTCCATAGTTTTCACTTGCCACCATTGACTATTCCATTATTCTACTTATAACTTACTAGGTTCTTGATTGTCAGAAAGTGAGTTTTCTTACTAAAAAGAAATTGTATTACTCTGAAATTTGTGGAGTATGGGGTCATAAAGTCTTGGAAATGGAGAAGATCCCACTTTGAGCTCTTAAAAGGGATTAGCGTGGCCAGCGTACGCTCTTGTCGCTCAGACCAAAGGTAAACACAAAGGCACCTACTTGTCCCTCCCGGCCAGGGCCTCGGTGTGTTGGTCAGATGTGAGCTTGTCTGCTTGCACATCCTCCATGTCCTTGGTGACTCCCTTCAGTTTCTCTGAAAGCTCCAGGTTACACTCTTTCTCTGCTTCCACCAGTGCAGCCATCCGTGCAGCTTCATCCTTTGCTATCCTGGATTCCTGCAGAAAGGAAAAAAAAAAAACTGAGAGGGTACGATGTCCCTGCCTAGATTAGCAACACAAAGACACAGAGCATCTCGTGTTGGGAAAGAAGGTAGAGGCAGAAAGGATGACTGCCAGAAGGCAGAGTAGTAAGGGAAGAGATGAAAGAACACCCCAAGCCCTTGAGATGCCACCCACCTCCTGCAGAAGTTGGATCTTGTTCTCCAGGAGCTCATACTGGCGCTCCGTCTCCTGCTGCCGCTCCTCATACTGGCGCCGGAGCTCAGCTTCACTGTGGTTGTTGAGATTCTCCACTTCGGCCCTGAAACCACACAGCATCAGCCTGTTAGCACCAGATGCAGAATTTAAAGAGTGTTCCTGTAATTCAGAGCCACACTACAGAGAAGAAAACTTCACGTATTTTTTTCCTCAACAATATCTATAGAACTGCTCTTTGCAACCTTTTCCTGCCATCTTTTAGGAACCCTGAATTTTTGGTGGCTTGTTAAGCAGGATGTAATTATTGGCTCCCTCGAGGCTTCTGTTTTGCTGTATCTTCAGCATAAGAAACTTGCATTCAGAAAGCAGAAAGACATCAAATGGTTCAGGACTCAACATTTCCACCCACCATCATCTGCCCCTGGATCCTCCCATTGAGACTGCTTCCCCAATATGCTTTACTTGTTCCTTTCCGTCAAGCTGCACGACAGGAAATCAACGTGGACAGTCACAGACATGCCATCCTTCCTTACCACCAACAGCACACGGGGAGCTGTTCTCATTCTCAGCCATTTCTCCAGAGTTCTCTCTGGATTTCCCAAGGTCCCATAGAGACAGCAGAAATTTAATCTGGGGATACTTGGGTTTTGGCAGAGCTTGGCTTCTCTGATATCCGTAGGAATGAATGTTCTGGCCTAGCACACCCAGGGTAAGGTATCACCAGTTTATTTATAGCAAACAACAGCTGCCCTTGGATGTCTGAGGATTAAAAATTGGGGGGTGGTATCAGGTGCTGAATGATTTTAATTCTGGCTTGATTTTATTTCTGTTCCATGACATTTATTGAGAACTATAAGCCACCTTTTCGATCAGGATGGAGAATGATATTAAACCTTTTAGGCTCATCCAGCACTAAGCCCAGGGGTGCTTTATTATTTGGTGCAGCACATTGTGTCCGTAGAGAAGAAATGGAGCCTTTTCTAGGTACACTTGAGTTTGGTGCTGGGTATTCTGTTCTCATTGGCTTATCATCCTAAATATGAAGAAACAGTGTAGACAGAATAAATGTCAGGTCACATTGAATGAATATTCATCTCAAGATATTGAAATTTTTGGGACCAGCATGGTGGCAGTGACACAATAGGCTAGCCCTACTCCGTGCGGCACTGGCATCCCATATGTGCACTGATTTGTGTCCCAACTGCTCCACTTCTGATCCAGTGCTCTGCTTATGGCCTGGGAAAGCAGTGGAGATGACTCAAATCCTTGAGACCCTGCACCCAAGTGAGAAACCTGGAAGAGGATCCTGGTTCCCAGCTTTGGATCAGTTCAACTCCGGCTGTTGTAGATATTTGAGAGTGAACCAATGAATGAAAGACCTTCTTTCTCGATCCCTTCTTCTCTCTGTAAAAATCTGCCTTTCATATACAAATTTTTTAAAAGATACTAAAAAGGTTTCATAATATTTATCATCTAAAACTAGCTTATAAATATACCTCTATCTTACATACTAGGCTTTTAAACTTTGCCTATATTTACCTTATCACGATACAATTAAATAACAGAAAACTAAATTTGTAACTTGTACTAAGGGGCTATTCTACTGTGGTAAAGGGGGAAAATGACAGGAGGAGAAGATGGGGATAGAGATGGTGGGGGAGAGGGATGAAGCCCTATACCTACAAAATGAAGGTGGAAAACAACAAATATTATAAATATAAATTAACAATATATACGTATACATAGCCAAGTCTTCTCCCCTGATGTAAGCAATGTTAAAGAGTTTGGTGTGGTCCTCCAGTTTTTTTTCTTCTTTTTTCTTATACATAATTAAGCAAGCAGTGTTCACAGAAAGGACTCTCCATCCAAAGAGGCTTATACCACAAGCCCCACTCAGCCCTCTTGCTGCGTATTCAACCTATCAAAGACACCCATGATCATACGGAGATGAATCATCCCTTTACATATTTGCTTACTCATTCACAGGATGATTATCCTGAAGCCTCTTTATTTGTTGCCCTTTGGACAGATCGTTGTACCTCATTTTTCCCCATTACAAGTAATGATGAAGTAAACATCCTTATCTATTGATTCTCTTACATAGTCTGCATTTACAAGGAACAGAGTCCTTCTAAGGACCATCTGATCAAGCACATGCTTCTCCCCGTAAGTAAAAACACATGCTGGGCCTGGCGCAATAGCAGTTAGCGGTTAAAGTCCTCGCCTTGAACGCTCCGCAATCCCATATGGGCGCCAGTTCTAATCCCGGCGGCCCTGCTTCTCATCCAGCTCCCTGCTTGTGGCTTGGGAAAGCAGTCAAGGATGGCCTAAAACCTTGGGACCCTGTACCCACGTGGCAGACCTGGAAGAAGTTCCTGGTTCCTGGCTTCAAATTGGCTCAGCTCTGGCTGTTGCAGCCGCTCACGTGGGGAGTGAACCATCGGAAGGAATATCTTCCTCTCTGTCTCTCCTCCTCTCTGTATATCTGCCTTTCCAATAAAAATTAATAAATCTTAAAAAAAGAAAGAATACATGCTAAAAACGTCATAATTTACACTCTCACCAGTTTATCATTTTAGGTCTAGTGGCTCTATCAATCTGTTGTAAGGTCTTTCTAACTTAGTACTAGAAAACTCTAAGGAAAGAACACATAGGAAAACCTACTGTTTGGACCACTGAGTTGGAAACAGCATTCACACGTGAGAAACAAAACTAAGGATTTTAGTTGCACATGTGTTGCTCTCAGATTAGTGAGCCAGGCCCTGGGACACATTAGTGTTCCTCTCGTTCAGACTGCAACTCACCATGTTTTATCCAGATGCTGCTTCTTGTCCTGGAGTTCTCGCTTCAGGCTCTCCACTTCAACCTTCAGCTCGATGTTCTGAAAACCACAAAGCCATTAACCATGAGAGGCTGCCCGAAACCCCCTATCCAGGACTCAAGTCTGAGCTTCACTTTGCACCTTGGTGAATCATCTCAGCGTCCTTCGGGTGAGAATGTGGGTTCCCCCAGGCAGCAGCCCAAGGAAGGATGAAAATACTGTCAGCCTCAGAACTCCCCAGAGCTCCTTACCCATCCTGCCAACTCCATCTTCACGACCCTGGATGGTGAGACCTGCCCACACCTATTTGCTCTCAGAGGCACAGAACAACACAGTGCATATTACAAGTTTTTCTTAAAAGTATGAGTCTTTTTTCTTAAACCAAATGCTGGATCAGCACATAGAATTATATTTTAATGTACCAGAGAATGTCATTATTTAAAGAAATTACATAGTGAATGTTTCTGAAACTGTTCTGGGTTTACCATAAAATGGGATTTTCATAAGTTGGGTTTAATAATGGGAGAGGGCACTCTGTAAATCTATGCAGGAAACCATTTCTATTGAAATGACCAGGAGCAAGATTTGGCAGACAGAAAAGTGAGGTATCCCAAGTGAAGTAAAATACAAAATAAAGGATGTGTGCAACATGTCTAGTTTGAATTAAGTGAAATGTGTGGTGAGGAACAAATCAGTCAGGAAAATAGTTTTCAGCATGTAGGAAAGACTGAAGAACATGAGCAGTTAAGGACTTCAGGTACAGTGCCGCCATGGTCAGGTCTGTGTCGAGGAAGAAACTTATGGCAGATGTGAAAAAAGTTAGGGAGCACTCTGGCAAAATAGGGATGGGGGCTGAACAACCAAAGAGGTGCAGGGAGAAACACTCTGAAGACCATTCGAGGCTGACTCGTGAGATCTGCATTAGCGGAAGAGCAAAGACCCCACCGTGCATCCTGACCTGTGGAGGGTGATGTGCCTTCTATCAGAACAGAAAGAGAGCCGTGGCTGTGAGGATACCCAAGAAAGAGTGCCCGAGAACAACTAAGCCTTTCCTGCTTGGAGCCTGGACACAGAGGAATCAGTCCCTTCCTTGATGAAGTCCTTAACACAATGTTAAGCAGAACAAACATTATTCATTGAAGAAGTAAAGAAGTCATACACAAAAGGTTGACAAAGTGACTGGAAGAGCCAGAAGCATGGAAAGGTGTGTGGGGGAGGCTGGGACAGGAGGAGGGATTCACCCCACTATCACCGCGTGGCAGCCATGTTTCTGGGAGTCCGAGGCCAGATACCACACCTGCCTTATCAGCAAAAGTATTTCAAGTGTGATTTCTCATGCACAGCAGAGGCAGCATCAAGAATAATACATGGGGAAAACAGAGATGCTGTTTGGGCATTTAAAAGTTTCTTAGAATCAGGAGCCAGTACAATGGCTTAGCTGGCTAATCCTCCACCTGCAAGCGCCAGCATCCCATTTGGGGGGCCGGTTCTGGTTCACATCCCAGCTGCTCCACTTGTGATCTAGCCCCCTGCTTATGGCCTGGGAAAACAGCAGAGGATGGCTCAAGGCTGTGGGCCCCCGCACCCACGTGGGAGACCTGAAAGAAGCTCCTGGTGATGCTGGCTTAACAGAGAATATAGATTGATGTTAGGTAAGCTTGAATATCTTAGTGTCTTTAATAACATGGAGATAACTGTATTTTCCTCACTCATAGACTTGCCTTGGATGATTGTCAAAGGAAGATAATTAATAAATCTTAGGAATTAGGACAGTGTTTAGAACACAAATGCAATGATAATCACAAATTTAAGTAACATGTTAGTATAATTTGTAATTATCAATAGCAGCAGCATTGTCATCTGGGGACAGCAGTTTGTTTTCCATGAGACCATGATATTTCAAAGTGATTGAGTACTCAGGAAAAAAGGTTGAGAAACAGCACTTCTAAGTTGATCATTATTTCTCCACCAAGTGACTCACTTGTGTGATCTTGAGTAAAATCATGTTACAGCTTCTTCACCTGGAAAGCAACAAAAACTAAAAAGTAGCTCAACTCTCATCTGACAAAATATATACTTTATAATTATAAAGTGATATTGCTTATTGTTGGCTAAATTATTAAATCAGAAAAGTCCAGAATTTTGCTAAGCTACCTCAAATAAGTCAAAAATGCTGGAGTACATAAAAAAAAAAAAAAAAACCTCGTGTTGGAAAACAATGTGATGTTTCAAATGACTGGAGTTACATAAACGTGTGTGGCTAATTTTCAATCCCAGACAAGAGGACAGACAGGAAGAGAAGAATAACTTCTCTAGGCTTTAGCATCATGTCTATATCATGTCTGTTCAACAGGCAGTAGGTCTATGAACCTCACACAAAACTGCTAAAATAGCTTTCATGTAACACACTGAGCCTATATTGGCATCAAAAGATCCCAGAGGAGTCCCTTACTGCCATTTCTGGATGAGAAATCCTAGAATATGTAACCAGGGCATAGAGGAGGCACTGTGCAACAAGAAGAGACCCAGAAAGGGTGAGATGCAAGCATGGCTAGACACTTACCTGCTACAGAACCTTAGGCAGCTTATTTAATCAGGGCCTTAGCTTTCTCACAGGAATAGTGCAGCTAGTTATTATTATTATTATTATTAAGTCATAGCTGTTTCACAAGGGATTTAGTGAGGATTAAATGAGATATTACGTACAATATACCCAGAACACTGCTTTATGAGCAGTTATTCAACAGCTTTGGTTCAGTATACCTTCATGCCTACTCTAGTCAGTACCAGAGACCTCAATTCCACTAGAAAAAAAAAACATTGAATGAGAAGAAAAATGAAAGACATAAGTGATGTAGATTCTATACATTCTAAATCCCAAATGAGAAAATGAAGTCAATACTTGGAATATTACGGCCAAAAATTCAGTTTTGAAGACCTTACCCAATACCTATTCCTCATTTTAAAGATAAGGCAGTTAAAACGTTTCCTCTAAGGTAAGAGCAATGACTCAAACCAGCACTTCGGCATTTCACCAGAGAGACTGGCTCAGGAAGCTCTGCCCAGTTTTGTATGATTTAGTAGAATATGTTAAGTTAGAGAAGTAGAGAACGTGCTGCATGAGATTGACTTTGTTGTTTTTTAAATATATGCTGGCCATAAGGATAATGCTCAAATCCTCAAAAATAAGGTAAGGGCTTACCTGTTTGCAAAGTTTCTATCTCCTCATCCATCAAGGAATCTATCTATAACAGTACCATCTCATGTGGTTACTAAGGGAATTAAAGGCATAAAAGGCATGTTACATGGTACGTGCAGTAAGCTACCATTTCATAGCTACTATGGATTATAAAAACTGAGATATGCCCTCTCTGTCTAGGATGGCTGAAGTTCTCAGACACAATGACACAGGAATGTTAAAAAGTAAAACCTATCACTTGCAATACTAGTATCCCACAATTGAGCATCGGTTTGAAACCAGGCTTCTCTGCTTCTGGTCCAACTCCCCACTAACAAACCTGGTGACACAGCAGAAGACTGCCAGGTTCAGACCTCTGCCACCCAGATGGAGTTCTGGTTCCTGGCTTTGCTCTGGCCAAGTCCTGGTTACTGCAGCCATTTAGGGAATAAACCAACAGATACAAGATTTTTTTCTCTCTCTCTTTCTTTCCCTCCCTCTCTGCTTTTCGAACAATTAAACCTTTTTTCTTTAAAAAAAATTAACATTATGTAATAAAAAGGAAAAAATGATCACACTACAAGTGGAATATAAGATATCTACACAAGTACATATCCTTTCTGAGCATACTTTGCTTAATCTTTTTGAGGTAAGTAGGAAAGAGAAGCAAAAAAGAAGGAAAGATTTTAAAAAGGACAAACAAAAGAACTAAAATGCCTTCTCTGAGTTCTAGTGTTGTATCTATTCACACAGGCAATGAGGTTTACAAGTCTCATACAGAGCTGCTAAAATAGCTTCATCTCCCAAAGATTAGATCCTACATCCATGATTAGTTAATTCAGTAAGTCGGTCATGGTACACAATCTAATCACAGGGAAATTCAAGTGCAAAGTAATTTATAGCATCAAAGACAGTGGGGCTTGGAAGCAGCATGTCTTCTTTTCCACATGTCCCCAGAAGAATATTCAGCCAACTAACTAGAAAAAGTTCAATGACGAAAATGAAATTAAACTCTCATAATACCTTGAAGCAAAAACAGGACCAACAATGAATAATGAGATTAACTACATTTAATTAGACTCTCTGGCAGCTTGTTTTGATTCCAGAAACACAAACAGAATCTTAATAGCAATTCATGGTCAACACAGGACTATACAGAAATGATTGCCAGGCAAGCATTTAGTGCAAAGATGAATACAGGATGGTTCAAAGGAGCCAGCAGAAATCAATGACTTGACTTCTTTCCAAGGCTACATGTTTAACTCCACAGACTTATCATCTACTCAGACAGTCCAGTGTGCCTATCTCTTTTGAAAATAAGAAGATTTACAACATGTTGCTCCAATTGAATCCTATGGAACAAAACGGCGACAGGCATTTGGCCTAGTGATTCAGACACCACCTAGAACACTCACATCTCGGAACAGAGGGCGTGGGTTAGAACCCTCCAGCTATGCTCCTGACTCCAGCTTCTAATGGGGGCACTTGGAGGCAACAGGTGGTGGTTATTAGTTCCTTGCCACCCCAGTGGGAGACCGGGATTGAATTCCTGGCTCCTTGATTCAGCCTTAGTCCCTGCTATTTGCAGACATTTGAAGAGTGAACTAGTTAGTAGGAATTCTGTCTCTCAAATAAAAATAGTAAATATTTTTAAAAGAAGACATGGCTTCTTTGAGACAGGAAAGAACAGGATTCATGAACTCAAGTCCCTCCTGCCTGACACCTATTCCTCTCCTGACTTGACTACATATTCATTTCCAACTCTAAAGCAACCCAGAGCAACTGCAACAGCTGGAACTGAGACAGTTGGAAGCCAGATGTCAGCAGGTGCCCAAGGACATAGGACATCCTCTACTGCCTTTCCAGGTCATAAGCAGAGTGC